ACTTTTGTTGTGTTAATTTTGCACCTGGAACGGACCGTTTCGGATGCAAAATTAACACACCAAAAGTGCAACCAGAACGTCCCGTTCCGGTTTTAGAATGGGCCGTTCTGGGTCCAGGTGTTTTAAAAAAATTGTCATCCACGTGGCATCCACGTGCCCAAAAGTTAACTCCGTTTAAATAATTTGGACGGAAAGTCCCACATTGAAATCAATTAATTAATTTGGGACTAAATTGAAACCAATTAATTAGTTTGGGACCAAATTGAGACAAAAAATAAAAGTAGGACTACATTGAAACAAAAAAAATTATAAGGGACCAAAATAGGTATTTAACCTAAATTATTTGAAGGTTTAGAAAGAAAAAAAAATTGTTTACGATGGAATATATTATAATTGTGGATTACTGCATTTTGAGTAAGAGATTTCAAATTATTTAATGAATTTAGTTAAAGGATTTGATTGTAAAACTTAAAAAAATTAAAATAAGAACTATAATAAAAAAAATATATAATATAAATATAAATTGTACATTATCAAAGTAGAAGAATTAAAAATGTAATTAAAAACTGAACTACGATGCATGGTTTGATAATTAGAAAAATAATTCTTAAAACTAAATAACAAGCATTTTTTTCTTCTTCTAATTTTGATAGCTATTCTAACACATTCACGGGCTCACATACACTATTAATAAACTCACACACACATGCTAAGATTCACATACAAAATTTCATTACCAAATCACGTACACACGTTAACATTCTTAAGAAAAACACATTAACATCCATTACTTGTACATCACTAGCATGTTTTAAATAATTGGTATTTGTAGGAATTCTATTGAAGTTTAAAATATGTCCATGTTTAAAAATTAGCTCATAATTTATTTTATGACTTATCTTAATACAACTTTATTATGGTAACCGGTAAGTGCATTATCACTTTTTCAACAGATTATATTTAAGATTTGGCCTTTTATAAAATATAGACATGATTTATAAAAGGGCTTTTATCACTATAAGATGTCGGTGTACCGATGCAATGCATTGTAACTTCAATTGGTCAAATTTGAAAACTACTGTTTGTTGAATGGAGTGTGATATGTAACGATTGTGGGTACGGTTTTAACAGTAAAGCACGATGAAAATGTTTACCTGATACAGAATAATACTTTTCTAATGTGTTTTTCATTATTCACTAAGATTTATAAAATTATAAGTAGGATTAAGATGAGATGTTTAAATTATTTTATGAATCTTCTATAGATATATAGATTAAAATAATTATTATTTTTAAAAATTATTTTTCAATAACAGTGCTTTAAACTTTTTAATGATAACATTTTAAGAATTTTTCTTAACTTATTATATCTTTTAACCTATTTTTCATCTTTATTTTAAATTAAATTTCAATGTTTTTTTAGAAAAGTATAAATAGTCAAATAAGCTTATACCGCCAAATAAATAAATATCATAAATTTAAAATATAATTTATATATTTAATATTTATTTGATGTTACTTAGTACAAAAATCAAGTAACAAGGTTATTTTGATTTAATTAATAATTTTGGATTTGAGTTTTACTTATGCAGTTGTGTTAAATATTTGAATGAAAATTTCATCATTTATAATAATTCTATTCAACTTAAGTATAATTGTCTAAAGAAAATTTGTTTAGATGTTGTTTTAATTTTTTATTCTCTTTTAGAAGAATATTTTTCATTCATGTTTATTTCTTAAAAAAACTTTAAGAAAAAAAATAATTACTGTATTTTTCAATTCTATTGTTTTCTTTATTTAATTTTTAAATATTTAACACATTAAAAAATAATAATAGTAATAATAACCAATGTTAAAATTGAAATTAATTATAATATATTCACAAATTAAAAAAAATATTGTCATTCAATTATAATTATCATATAGTAAGATTATTAATTTTGTGATGATTATTTTAAAAATCATATTTAGAGTAATTTTTAATTTGTTGGTAGTGTAAAAACTTTTGTACTGTTAATATATGAAAATTAAACTCAAAACTTAATTAATAAGAGAAAAACGATAAATAATTTTCATATAAAGCTATTAATTATATTTTTTAACATATATAGTATAACTTTAAAAAATATGAAAAAAGAATAAGAAATAACACAATTAAGTTAAAAGGTAAATTCTCTTATGGACCATCAAAACAAGTGGTGTATGGGTGCACCATGACTTTTAACCATAAAATTCATCTAAACAAATAGCATATTATACACCTTACCACACAGGATCAAAATTTCAGAATTTTTTATTGAAATTATTTTCTTTTTTTAAAATTACCCAAAAAAAAGCACGTGTTATGATGCATAGGTGCAGCTGCTTTTCACTTTCGGAACGGGCCGTTCTGAAATCAGAACGGGTCGTTCCACATGAAAAAATAACACATGGATATTGTATCAGAACGGGTTGTTCCATATGAAAAAAAATACATGACGAATGGAACGGAACGGGACGTTCCAAAATCAGAACGGCCCGTTCCCAATTCAAAAATAACGAATGATTAATTAAACCAGAACGGGTCGTTCTGAATTCGGAACGGCCCGTTCTAACTACAAATTTGTCATACGAATTTTTTTAAGCAAAATAATTTTTTTTTTCATTCTACTAAATTACATCTAAACTCTAAACCCTAAACCCATAAAGTCTTATACTAAGGCCCATAATACAAGACCAAACAATATAAACTCTTATACTACCAAAAATATGAGAAAGGTGGTCATCCATGTAAAGTCCAAGTAAAAAGAATCTTAGGCCCACCAAACCCATTGGGCTCACTGAGCTTAGAAGCAGTCAAAAGCCTAAAGGCCCATGAAGTCCAAAACTAGGCCCAATAAACTTAAAACCCAAAAAGTCTTATACTAAGGCCCATAATACAAGACCAAACAATATAAACTCCTATACTACCAAAAATATGAGAAAGGAGGTCATCCATGTAAAGTCCAAGTAAAGAGAATCCTAGGCCCACCAAACCCATTGGGCTCACTAAGCTCAGAAGCAATCAAAAGCCCAAAGGCCCATGAAGCCCAAAACTAGGCCCAATAAGCTTAAAACCCAAAAAGTCTTATACTAAGGCCCATAATACAAGACCAAACAATATAAACTCCTATACTACCAAATATATGAGAAAGGTGGTCATCCATGTAAAACTCAAGTAAAGAGAACCCTAGGCCCACCAAACTCATTGGGCTCACTGAGCTCAGAAGCAGTCAAAAGCTAACAGGCCCATGAAGCTCAAAACTAGGCCCAATAAGCTCAAAACCCAAAAAGTTTTATACTAAGGCCCATAATACAATACCAAACAATATAAACTCCTATAATACCAAATATATGAGAAAAGTGGTCATCCATGTAAAGCCCAAGTAAAGATAACCCTAGGCCCATTCCAGTTT